ATAAAATAAAAATATCTACCTTGTAGGGTTCTTGTGACATTGAATAAAGTAATCTGTGTAATTTAGCACTTAGTGAAGGCTCAAGTAGATTATTCCTTTGTCTGTGTTGCTTGAAGATGTTGAAATTTATTCCACAGTCAAGGTGGCCCCTTCACTAGGAAGAATGGCTAACTAATTTCCTGGGCAGATCAAACCCACAAATGCTCAGGTGATTTCAGCATCATCCCTTAGACTCAAAGGTTGTGGGTTTGATTCCTGGTGGGACATAAACCCAGGTTTCGAGTTCGATCCCCAGTCGAGGAGTATATGAGAAGACAGCAAACAGATGTTTTTCTCTCTTATTGATGTTTTTCTCTCTCTCTCTCTCTTCCCCTCCCCCAATTCCCTTTCTTTCTCTCTAAAAAAGCAATGAAAAGGTGCCCTCTGGCGAGGATTAAAAAAAGGAACTGCCCTGGGCTAAGTATTGGGGTTGAGAGGAAAAGGTGAATTAAAAGCCAAATACAGGGTTCTAGCCCTCTAAGAGGAGAGGAAAGGAGAAAAGACATAAGGGGAGGTAAAGTTAAACAATATAAAAGAGTTAAATAAAAGCTCAAGATAATGAATGTTATGAGACAGTATGTACATGCCCAATTGTTCATTGCCCACTGAATTATACAGTTGAAAGTTGCCTTGAGAATTTAGAAGTGGTAGAAATACTTTTAGGAAAGGATGAAAGAGAAGACATTATCTGGGTTGAGCCTTGGAAGTAGATAGAATTTGGACTGAGAGAGATTTAGTAGCTTTAAAAAGAGACTATGTAGTGTCTTTCTGCAGTGTTCTGAGTAGTAATTCAGTAAACAGAGAAGCTTTCACCAATTCTAAACATAGGCATTGGAAAGAAAATTACTGGATTTGTAAACAAGAGCTCAAGGACTTGTGAGCAAATAAATTATACTGCTGCTGGGCTCAAAACTCCTTTTTCTAGGAAGTCTTCTAGATACTTTCTCTTGTTCTGAGCTTGAACCTATCTTATACAATGCTATTCCAAGTTCATTTGTTTATAGATATTGTACCTTTTAAAGTTCACTTCAGTTGTACACATCAGTACATTCTTGATGATGTGAAGTCTCTAAGCAGAAATCTATGTTGACCAGTTGTTAGAATCATATGTAACAGTTTGACTCAAGTGATGATGTCACAGCACTTTGTGGATTGCAAAGGAGCATTACCACCAGATTTATAGATTTGGAAGCAATCTGAAGGGTCTTCTAGTTTTGCAGAAGAGATCAAGTGTAGCTCAGAATGACAATGCTAGAACCAGAACTCAGCTCTCCCAATTATTAGCAGTGCCTGACATCTTTTCTCACTACATTTGTAAATATTTGAGTACTATATGTATTAGGCACCAGGCTAAGACTAAGGAAAGAACTGTTCAAAATGTGGGCCAAAAAGGGGGTTCTATAGAAAGTAACCTCACGGAGTGATCTGATTATAAATTCCTAACTGGGCAGGTCATGGTAGGTAATCATGCCCAGGCATATAGCTTTATAAATAAATGGTTTATCTTTGTTTTAAGCAAGCCCTGTCCATTGTTTTTGTGCATGTAAATTAACATATATTTTTATTTTTATTTTTTATTTTTTTGGTTTTGAGAGTAAGTTTATTAAAGCTGGGAACGGTGAAAAAGGAAGTGCTTAAGATAGACGCAACAAGGGAGAGCCTAGGTGGGGCTGCTTTGGCTCTCTGGAAAGTGAGAGAAAAGGGAGTCCCTGGGGACAGGTTCAGGGGGTTAACCTGGGATAAGCTGACACTGCCCATTGCTCCCCTGGTTGCAAGTCGTTTGGGGTCCCTTAGAGTTTACAACCTACACACCTGTGGAGGTAGAAGAGTGGGAAGGGAAAGGCAAGGGTGTGTTCCTGAGAGGGGGAGTTCTATTGGTTAACAGACCTTTGAAATAAACTGAACCATCCTCAAGAAAGCACATAATCTTATTAACTACCTGTAATCCTGCCTTGCTTTCTTTCACCCTCTTGTAATCTTCCTTAGCTTCCCTCCTTAATTTCAAATGCATAAAAAAAAACTGCAAAACTGCTATCAGTTTTGGCTCAAATAGACTCATAAAAATTCTCTACAGGTTTGAATGCTCTTAGGTTGATAAATACAATTCTCTTTATTTTTTTAAATTTTTATTGATTTGAGAGAAAAAGACATCCATGTGTTGTTCCACTTATTTGTGTAGTCATTGGTTGATTCTTTTTTTAAAAAAAAAAGATTTTATTTATTTATTTATAGAGAGAGGGGAAGGGAGGGAGAGAGGGAGATAAACATCAGTATGAGAGAGAAACACCGTTTGGTTGCCTCCCATATGCACTTCTATGAAGGACCAAACCCGAAACCCAGGCATGTGCCCTGACTGGTAATCAAACCAGAGACCTTCCACTTTGCAGGTTGATACCCAATCAATTGAGCCACATGGGTCAGGACATTGGTTGATTCTTGTATGTGCCCTGACCAGGGCTCAAATCCATAACACTGGGATATCAGAATGATGCTCTAACCAACTGAGCTACCCAGCCAGGGCATAATTCTTTTACTTTAGGAGCCTAGATAGGGGAGACCAAAAAAATGCAAACTAAATTAAGGCAACTTATAATAAATGTGGCAAAAATAGACTGCTTTAGATAAGGTAGTGGGGGTGGGGGAGACTTCTCTGAGCAGGTAACATTTAAGTTCAAACCTAAAGAAAACAGGAGCCAGCTGAAAGTGAATTGGGAGGGAGGAGGGGTAGGTAAGAGCTCTTTTAGGCAGAGGGAACACCAGGTGCAAAACCCTGAGAAAAGGAAGAGCTTGGCATGGTCCACCAGGAACTGACCAAAGGCCAGAATAAAGATGGTGCCAAGTTGACGCAGTAGAGAGGGGGTAGCTCACAGGTCACAAACTCAAATGCACAAGTGGGCGGATGATGTAAATGGAAAAACTGGCAAGGTGTGTTTACCTGAGTAATAGGAGCTGTGGAAGACTAGTACATCCTCCTCTGTCTACAGAGCCACAAGTCCTTGTTGCCCATGTCTGCCACATCTATTTAACAGACAGAAACCTGAATTTTTAAGGTGTCATCTCCTGATTTTTAAATCTTTGTTCAAATTTGTTAAAAATGCTGTGAGCCAAATAAAACACAGTCCAAAGGTGAATTTTAAAAGATTGTATTTATATATTTTTAGAGAAGAGAAGGGAAGAAGAAAGAGAGTGAGAGAAACATAGATGTGCAAGAGAGACAGCGATAGGTTTCTTCTCACATGCTCCCAACTGGGGACCCGGCCCGCAACCCAGGCATGTGCCCTGACTGGGAATCAAACTGGCTTTTGGTTTGCAGGCTGGCACTCAATCCACTGAACTACACCAGCCAGGGCAAAGGCAGGTGAATTTTTAAGTGCAAGCAGATCACTTTTGAGAGGTTTTGAGCTAAGACAAGATCCGATTTGTGTTTTAATAAGATCATTAAAGCACAGAGGTTTGAAATTAAGATCTGAGAAATGTTAAGCTCCGGGGTTACCTCTTCCTGACAAGCTGTAAGTTCCTCTAGGCCAGGGTCTGGACACATTCATGTTTGTTCCTACAGCACATTCAGTAGACACAAGCCATGTCTCTCTGTCCTCTCTTTTCCTTGCAGCAGAGCCAAGGACCTCGCCAGCTATCATCTCCTCTTTGTAACTGTGTCTCCTTTCTCTCTTCCTGTTGAAATTCTGTTTACTTCAAGCTTGGTTGCTAAGAGGGAAATCAGCCCTTTAGATTCTCTCATTATTGTGCTATCACCAAAGACAGGTAGGTACGTACATACGTACAGATTCATGTTTTTTATTTCCCAGGTTCTATCATAAATCACTGGGAAAACAAAAAACATCAAAATAACTTGCCTCAAGAAGTTACAAAGGTACAGAATTCAGTTGTTAATTCTGATCCCTGACTCTTGTTCAGACAGTAACTGGATGCAGTCTAAGGCCTTTAAAATTGGGCTCTTATTGTTTAATGGGAGGCTTTGCAAAACACAGCCCTTCTTTTGAGTTTCTCTGCACTGCTCCCTCCAATTTAGAGGAAGGATTTAACTTCATCATGGCGAGACTTTTCAAACAGTACTTATACCAAGATCTCAGGAAGGTAACTTGCATTCCTTAATTATGTGACCTTGGGCACATGACAATCTCTCATCTTTTTCTAATGTCTCAAATGCTAATCACAACACGTTCTCTTCTTAACGGTTACAATATTAAAATGAGATAAAGTCTGTAAAGTGAGTGGCACATACAGCGGCAAATGTTTGATTCAACTCCACACAACAATGTTCCCCTGTGGGCATTTCCTCACAAAGTTTCAGAAGAATATTTCTGTAGTTCTTTATTCAGCACTTTTTGTTTTTGTTTTTGTTTCTTTTTAGTATTTGCTCTAGCACACACTTGGCCATCCACAGAAGTGACCTGAATGAAAACTGGCCGCGGAGGATTGCCCCACTCCAACATAAACTACTTTCAGAAAATGGTGCTAGGGTCCTTGGGTTTCTGGGCAATCGTACCTTTCAGAACCCCCACGGATCCCTCACATCCCGCCTGCTCCAAATGGTTCATTTAACTATGGCAAAACTAAAATTTCGGTCGCTATACTAAAATGCAGGAACCTCCCTTCTCAACAGCCACAGGCAAGGGAGTCGGTTAGTTTTAGGCTGAGCAGCGATTGGCCTCAAAAAGCCCGCCTCTTTTCAAGGGAAAGCCTATCAGTGTTCCTGTAACTATGAGCGGCAGCTGCCTAGGAGCCAATGAGTTCTGCTCTTTGAAAGGAACCCGCCCTTCCCTGTGTTGTTGCTTCGTCTCTCGTAGAATAGAATGAGGATCGACGCTTCCTCATAGCGAGCCTAGTGGCGGGTGTTTGCGTCGAAACGTGACCTAGACCCGACCTTAAAGGGGAGGGAGCAGAGGGAGATAGGGCGGGGGCCCTTTAAGCGAGGCTTGCTGATGCCTGCCCCTTTAAGGGCGGGGCGTCCGGACGACTGAATCTGAACCTCAGATTACCCTGAGTTTCCGTCGCAGGCTGCGAGGAAAAGCTCTTCGGCTGGGTCCGGGTGTTTGGCGGCGGCGGCTTTATCCCCGCTCGTCCTCCCCGGGCCCGGAGACACCCCTGCCTCAGTCATGCTGAGCAGAGTATGGAAGCAGCTGACTACGAAGTGCTATCTGTGCGAGAGCAGCTATTCCATGAGAGGGTCCGCGAGTGCATTGTGAGTGCGGGATCCGGGAAGGAAGGTTAGAACCAAAGGGAGGAGAGGCCGGGTGCCGTAGGAGAGGTTCGGGTCAGAGTACAACCGTCTGGGCCCAGAGCGCCATCAGACTCTGCCTGGACCATGGGCGAGCAACGAAGGGCCCCGGCACAACCGAAGAACCAGTGCCCCAGCTGCTGAACCACTAGGTCGGATCAGCTGGGTAGCTGCGCGGTAAACAAAGCCGGTCGTTTTCCGTTCCTCCCCTCTGCACGCCCCTCCCCCCGCCCTCCCTCTGTCCCCCACCCCCACCGTGTTCTGGGTCCTTCGGTGTCCGGGAGTCTGGTGAGTTTGCCCATCTTAGTCCTAGAGGGATGGGTTTGATTAGCAGTGGGTTTATTTGCATTTACCGCCCCCCCCCCCGCGCCCAAACCCAACTGTTGTTTGTTGAAGGCGGACTTTGGTGGATCTCCCACTTTGGAAGAAGGGACTCTTGCTGGGGTGGATTTTACTAAATAGAGATGGACAACAACTAAGGTTCCTCCACCCCTACCCCTTTATTGGTGTTTGTTAGGAACCCTGTGAGGAGAGGTTTCTGGCTAGCTACCCAGCCATTTAGGGATTTCCCCTGTAAGTGGTTTCCCTCAGTGCTCTAGAGGGCACCTGGCTTCCTTCCTTACTCCCTCACTGCGCTCTGGAGAATCAGCTGAACCTGATTCAATGGGACTCCTCATTTCTGGGCATTGGGCACCCAGAGGCGCTTAGGAAGTCGAATTTTCCTCAGGCCTGCTTTGAACTCTCATCTCTCTCCTTTCTCCTCAGTCTTCCTCCTTGTAGCTCCCCAAGGTAGCTCTTTTCCATATACTTAGCGGAAAGGAAAAGAGAAAGGTTTGGAAGAATGGAAGTGTTGCTGAGTGGGCTCATCCTTCATTTTTCACAGGCTGGACTCTAGTGTGCCCTGGGCAGCCTGATATTGGAGGAGGGATAAAGTGAGCCACGACTTAACTGGATCTATCCTTATCTGTGAGGACTGAAAAGTAGGAAGTGTATCAGTCCTTGTGTAGAATGCCACATCTTTCAGGATGCCTTTCTCACGTGTCCCTTAGTGAATAGTCCCGCATGGTGAGCTTGGGCATATCAGGGAGGCTTGCCCAGGCCTTGAGACATTGTATGGCCAGAGGCCCACATTCTTAGAGAACAGGGAGGGATGAGACCTTGGTCAGAGAAACAGTCTCCTGCATATCTCCCCCATCCTTTTGTCCCCTTAGCTGAGGACATCAGTGCTGGCCAAGGGCAGCTGAAGGCTTCTGGTAGCTCCTCCACCTGGCTCCCCTCCCCTGCTCTAGAGAATGACCTAGCCTCTCCTGGAACTGGGTGGAACTCCAGCCTGACCTTTTGAGCCCTCCTACCTTCCTGGCTATTACGCAAGCCAAGGGCAGAGCACTAGGCTGTAAAAATTCTGCAGTTACAATCTGAGTAGTTCATTCTACTCTGCTTCCCTAATGTCAAAATCTGCAACTTCGTCCTAGACCCATGGCTGTACTGAGGTCCCTATGACTTTTTTCCTCTTTGGTTAGCTATGTGCAGATTTTCTGTGAGGACTGGAAGACCACAAGACTGACCCTGCCTTTGAGTACTTCAAATGCAATTATGTTTCTTCTCAAGACTCCCTAAGAGTGGAACCAAACTGAACTGTGGCTTCTCCCCTTAGCAATAGCAGCTTACTTGGGGTAGGGTAGGGATGCATGCATGTGCAGAGTATCCTGGCCAAGTCCTGCCTTAACTGTTAATTGGTGGCCCAGTCACCTAGAAGCATAGGACAGGCCTTGACAGGCCCGGCCCTAGAGTTCGGAAGGTGCTTGAGGTAGGAACCAGGGATCGACAGCCTTTAAAGGGGCTGATGCTGACTCTAGAGATTTTGTAGATGCTGGGCCCCAACTAAGTCCTACTCTTAGAGACAGAGTGTTAAATGAGGCTCTGGGTTGGCCCAGAGCAGACCTGGTCTTTCAGGGTCCCTGAATAAATGCAGTAGAAGTTCTGACTTGATCTAGTGGCATGATTCCTACTTATTCTCTCCTGGAGCTTGAGTCAAGATGGCAGTGGGGGAGGAGGTGACAGGTGAGGGTAGTGAAGTGTCAGGGCAATACAGGTATCCCCTTCTTCCTCTCAAACTTGTTTCCCATTCCAATAATACGCTAGAAGTAATTCCCTTTGGTCTATGGCCTGTTTCAGGTATGTGTACATGTGTATCTTTAATTTTTTCTGCCCAATTACCAACCAGTGTTTGGCCATTGCTATTTTATCCCAGGAATACTCTCATAGGGCTGGACATGGTGCTGTTTCCCCAGGTGTAGGGGGACAGCCCCTGTCTGTGGCTTCTTAGAGGCTCCTGAGGCCTCGACTAGAGGAAGTACCAGGGAGAAAGATGGAACCCCTGGAAATATGGAGACTTGTTTTGGGGAATTGATCCCATGGAATTAACAGGGAGGCCCCTGGGGCTGTGCTGGGGATTCAAATTTCTCATCCTAGCTCACATTCTGCCACAGATCTCAACACTTCTGTTTGCAACACTCTACATCCTCTGCCACATCGCCCTGACTCACTTCAAGAAGCCTGCTGAGTTCACCACAGGTACCTCTGATTTCCCTCCCTCTGTCCACCCTCTGCCAGTGTTCTTGTTGCCATGGGGCCAGCCTCAGGAGAATGGGCCTATAGTGCCTGCTGGGAAAGGAAAGGTGGCTGTTTTGGAGTCTTGGCCTCTTCTGCCTCCACACCTCTCCAGGGAGGCACGGTGTGGTCTAGTGGAAAGTCTAGATAGAAGTGTCCACAACTAGTAAAGCCACTGGGGAGGTCCTGTAACTTTCTGACTTTTAAGTTTCATTCTCTACAAAATGGTCCTAATAATCTCTATGCAGTCAATTATCATTATGTGGACCAAACAAGATGGTTAATATAAAAGCCCTCTGTAAACCTAAAGTGGGCAACTACAAGATGAATGTTATCATGGCACAAGCTCCATCACCTTCTCTCCTAGTGCTCCCAAACCCAGGACCAGAGACCTCTGTGACCACTGGGACACCAGGACCTAGTGATGGTGGCTTTTCTCTAGAGCCTAAGTGTGCTCACATTGGAGCTTTCCTTTCTGTAGGCATTGTGTGACTGGTTTTGCAGGGGGGGCGGGGGCGATGGACAGACACCCTGGCCCCAGTTCCTAGCCCCAGCCTGTCCAGATTATCCTGTCCTTGCCCTAGCCGTTCCTCTCCTCCAGATGGCTTCATGAGCCCTCGCCCAAGAAGGCATCTATTCAGTGTAATTCTCCTAGGGACTTTTTCTGTGAATCTCCCCTCTTCCCACTCGCTGCATTTCTCTGAGCTGCACCCAGCCACTGATGAAACCAACCTCACAGACCAGTTGTTTGTGATACGTTGAGCTTACAAAGAGGAACCTGCAATGGGAAACATCATGGGGAGGAAGGGAAGTGAGGGATTTTCTAGCCTGTACCCTCTCCACCTGGGACCACTGCCACCTTGGCCAGAGAACATGTTGTGGGGTTCATAGCGTGAGCTCTCCCAGAGCCTCCTGTCCAGCTCTGCCCCTGTGGGTGAAGGCCCTTCTTTCAGGGGGCTGGAAGGCACACAGCAACATAAATGGTTCCCAGAGCCTCCCACTGATGTCCTGCTTCTTCCCCATGCCTCTGTCTCTTTTAGTGGATGATGAAGATGCCACAGTCAACAAGATTGCGTAAGTGTTGATGCCTGCACCTGGTACCAGTAGCCTTTAGAAGCTGAGATCTAGTGAGGTTCTGGAGCTGGCAGAGAGAGTGGGGTGTCACAAAGTAAAGAGAGAGTCTCTGCTTCCACCGCATTTCTGGCTTCTTCCGGCTTTACCCCACCCTGGGGACGCTTGGAAAAGCTGCTCTTCCTGTCTCCCTGGTTAGGTCAGGAGCTTCTGAGATCCACATGGCCAGGAACTGTAAGCTGGGGCCTGAGTCACCGGAAATGGCTTCAGCTTGGCTTCACCTCCCAGCAGCCATTAGGAAGGGAGTAGGGTAGGATGCGGACTAATTAAAACAGCAGGAGACAGGGAAGGTGGAACCCACAAAGGGGAGACATGCATGATTCTAAGAGGATGGCCCTTATTCCAGGCTGCTATTTACTGGCGAGCATAAAGAAAAATACAGATATGTCCCCTCTGGGTCAACAGATTACAAGAAGGCAACCTTCCTGCCTTGATAGACCAAATCAATAAAAGTGTCCCTTCTTTTCCACTAGTACAGCCCAGGACACAGACCTTGGCTATGAAGTTGGGTTGTAGCTCCCTTTTCCCTCTTTGCCCTAGTGTTTTGTGCAGGGCATAACCATATGGGGTGACCCTGCTAATATGTGGGCTGAATAAGGCAAGCTCAGAAATCCACATCTCTGAGCAGAGAAGCCAGGCCCCATAGGTTGGCATCATGCCTGGTGTACCCCACAGGCATGTGTGGGAGGATCACATTCCTGGGGACAGTCTGGGCAAGTGACCTGGCAGGTGATCAGGTTCCCATGAATGCCCGAGATGTGCCCATCCCATGTGTCAAGGCTTCCCTGAAGGTAAGGGTTAAGGCAGGGAAGTAGTGGATAGAGCACCAACTGGTGGCTCCTTCCCTCAGTCTGTCACTGCTGCAGTCAGTTCCAGGAGAAACCACAGGTGCTCATAGGGACAAATGGCTTCTCGGGCCCAGTGATGTGAGTGAGTTAGCTAATCAAGGGCACTACCTCTTCTTTGCCCAGGCTCGAGCTCTGCACCTTTACCCTGGCAGTTGCCCTGGGCGCTGTCCTGCTCCTACCCTTCTCCATCATCAGCAATGAGGTGTTGCTCTCACTGCCTCGGAACTACTACATCCAGTGGCTCAATGGCTCCCTCATCCATGGTACGTGGCTTCTGGTTGCAGCTTGGGGTGGTGATGGGGAGCAGAGAGCATCAGGCAGATGGAGACAGTTATAATCACCCCATCCCTGGATATCTGATCACATGGTCTGTCCCCAGTGGGTTGGGCCCCCTTTCCTGACCACCTTTGCCTTTACTTTTTTTGTTCTAGGCCTCTGGAACCTTGTTTTTCTCTTCTCCAACCTGTCTCTCATCTTCCTCATGCCTTTTGCATACTTCTTCACTGAGTCTGAGGGTTTTGCTGGCTCCAGAAAGGTGAGTGAAGTATATATATCAATCAATCCCGAAGGGAAACAGTTCCACTCAGATGTTTCAAGTAAAGAGACTTTAATGAAGAGACTATTTGCAGAGGTATTTTCAGAGTTGAGGAGACCAAAAAGGAGTTTGAGGTGCTAATGGCAGCAGGAAGTCATTACCAGTCTAGGCTTGTGGGAACAGAGGGAAGAAATAGCTTCTGGAAGCCACTTATAGTTGAAGCTGGGGAGGTGCAGCCATTCCACAGAGGAGCTACTGGTCCCTTCCATTGGGCAAGCTGAATAGGAAACCCAAGGACAAAGGGCTTGTGTGAGGGGTCAGCTTCCCAGGGCAAGACAAGGATGGGGAAAGGACCCAGGGAGGGGGGTTGCAAATGAATATCCAGGATAAGGAGTGGCCCCAGGTGGTGGGGTAGGAAGACAGAATGATTTAGCAGAATAAGAGGGAAATGCTTTTTCCTTCCTCCTAAATCCATGTCTCTGGTTCCCCCAGCCAGACTTTGTCCCCAGTGTTTTCTTCCTTCCCCACACTGCCCAGATGTTGGGATTTCTCTCCACTCCACACCTATTGCCTTCTTCTGTAGGGCGTCCTGGGTCGAGTCTACGAGACGGTAGTAATGTTGGTGCTCCTCACCCTGCTGGTGTTGGGCATGGTCTGGGTGGCATCAGCCATCGTGGACAACAATAAGGCCAGCAGGGAGTCACTCTATGGTAAGAGGGCCCACTTCCTTCCCACCCTCCAGGCTGAGTGGCTCTTCAGTTGGCTGATGTTCCCTTGCCTGCAACAACTGTATCCCTCTAAGGTGGAGAAGGTTGGAATCATTTCAATCATTAGACTGAAGTTTCAAAATGATGGACTTCAGGCCAAATCCAACCTGCAGAAATGTTTCATTGGGGCCATGTAATGATGTTAAAATACATATATTTGAGTCAGTTGCTGACATGTTAAAGTTGGGAGGTTTTACATTAATGTCCAGATCTCTGGCTTTGCCTGACAAGGTTGAGGATCTGGTTTCACTAGTCCCTGGTGACTGCAGCTGAATAGCGGTTGTGCCCTTTACGTATGGCTTAGGCTCTACAGTTTGTTATAGTCCCTGCTACTCCATCTTCTGCTGACATGGGCCAGATTTACTGCTTTGTATTACTAGCCTAACCCCTGTAGGTTTTATGTTGTCTCTGAGGCCTGTCAGTCCCAGTAAGCAAGAAGGAGATGGGTTGACAGTACTTTTTTTTTTTTCCCCCCTTAGACTTTTGGGAGTACTACCTCCCCTACCTCTACTCCTGCATTTCCTTCCTTGGGGTCCTGCTGCTCCTGGGTGAGTGAGCACTGCCTGGGAGAGAATGGATGAGGTCCTTGGTCCAGAGCCCTTGGGGTGGGAAGAGAAGGAATGGAGGGTGGGTAGGGGGAATGATGGAGAGAAGGGTCTGGCAGGTGACTGGCTTCTATCCCCACAGTGTGTACTCCACTAGGTCTCGCCCGCATGTTCTCGGTTACTGGGAAGCTGCTGGTCAAGCCCCGGGTATGTAGTGCTCCTTGCCCTTCGTTCCTGTGGGGTGAGCTTCCTGCAAAGCTGGAGCCAAACAACCTTGCAGAGGGTCACAGCCTTTGTTGGCTCCTGTATCTTTCACCCCCATCATCTGGAGCTGGTTACTGGACATAAATCAGAGCACAAGGCAATCAGGAGGGATGGATAAAGTTGCTGACCACAGGGTGGTGAATGAGGGATAGGGGAAGGAATGGGATTATAAAGCCCTGGAGCCCTTGGGCTCTGGAAGCCTCTTACTGTTAGTCCCTCCCTTTCCCCTGCCCCAGCTTCTAGAAGACCTGGAGGAGCAGCTGTACTGCTCAGCCTTTGAGGAAGCAGCTCTGACTCGCAGAATTTGCAGTGAGTTGCAGTTCTTCCTAGGCGGGATGGTGGGCGTCGCTCAGGCAGGGGCAACACCATCTTCTCTGCCCTCAGATCCCACCTCCTGCTGGCTGCCTTTGGACATGGAGCTGCTGCACAGACAGGTCCTGGCTCTACAGACACAGAGGGTCCTGCTGGGTATGTGGGTTGGTAGGGATGGGGATACCTGGGTTTCCCCAAGGAGAGTAGCCCTCAGTTCCAGGCACTTGCTGACTGCTTCCCATTCCTGCACAGAGAAGCGGCGGAAGGCTTCAGCCTGGCAGCGGAACTTGGGCTATCCCCTGGCCATGCTGTGCTTGCTGGTATTGACGGTGGGTATGCCAGCCTTGGAGGGGAGGCAGTAGCAGGCCCTTGAGTACTTTAGGCCTTCTCAGGGAAGAGGAAGGAGGAGATGCAGGGACCTGCTTATCCTCAATAATAGCAGTCGCCTCTTACTGAGTGTCTACTTTGTGTCTTGCCCTGTGCTGAGCACATCAATTCCCATTTTGTAAATGAAGAAGTAGAGAAGCTGAGTTTGCCCAAGGCCACACAGGGCCACTGAGTAGTTACCCGGGTTTGCTCTGGGGTAAAATAAGGGTTAAAATCCAGACTATCCCCCCACTAGTTACAACCTGGACTTGGGACTATCTTATCAGTCTGGAAGAAGATGTCCATTTTTCTATTTGGCTTTTCTGCAATTCTTCTACCTGGAGAGGGTGTACCTTATAATACCTTCAAAGGTGCTCTGTTGCTAGCACCAGCCTTGAGGAGATCCTATACAGCAACTTGGAAACTGAAAATGTTGGACCAGAGTGTCTGCTCTTAATATTCAACCCAGGATACAGCTATGGGCTGGGGCAGAGATGGGAGTCTGTGACCTTGTCTCATAGGGCCTATCTGTGCTCATTGTCGCCATCCACATCCTGGAGCTGCTCATCGATGAGGCTGCCATGCCCCGGGGCATGCAGGTACTGGGCTTCCCTCCCACTGTATCTTTTGGGAATGGCCTAAGAAAGGCTGGGGCGAGGGCAGAAACTAAGGCCAGAGGGAAAGCTGGATGCCGAGGGGTGGTGCTGATGGTGGAGAGTGCTCCACAGTGACACTGCTTCATCTCTCAGGGTGCCTCCCTGGGCCAGGTCTCCTTCTCCAAGTTGGGCTCCTTTGGTGCCGTCATTCAGGTTGTACTCATCTTGTATCCTTCTGGAAACCCACCCATTGTTTCTGTCTGCTGACTCTGTCTCCTTTGGGACTCTGGGCAGAACTGTGGTAGGAGCAAGGGAAGGGGGCAAGTCTTCAACCTGAGGTTCAGAAAGAAGGAAAAGACTTGATTTTGAAAGGAGGGCTAGGGGAAAGGGGTCCTTCTCTTTGAGATGAGGCATTAACCCTTGGGAGCCTACCAGTTCTTCCCTAACCCAGTGGCAGTTACCTGATGGTATCCTCGGTCGTGGGATTCTACAGTTCTCCACTCTTCTGGAGGCTGCGGCCCAGATGGCACGACACAGCCATGACACAGGTAGCTGGGCAGGAGTAGAGGAGGTACGCCACGGGCGGGCATGGGGACAAGGTACTGGCAGCTCTGCTACCTCACCTCCCCTTTCCTTACTCATACCCAGATAATCGGGAACTGTGTCTGTCTTCTGGTCCTAAGCTCAGCACTTCCTGTCTTTTCTCGTACCCTGGGTAAGTAGCAAAAGGAGGTAAGGGGAATTGGCTTTTTATTGAGTACCTACTGGTGCTATGTGTCACTTTATATACATGTTCTCACTAATTCCTACAACAATCTTAGGAGAAGGTATTGTCCCCATGATACACATCAAGAAATGAGTCTCTGTGAACTGCTTATGCTGATTTAAGAGTAGTGTTGCTTCAAAGCTCATGATTTTCAATTTGCTATATCACATAGCCTTACCCATTTTTAAAAATTTTGTTTAAATTTTAAAGGGAAGGAGAAAGACAGAGAAACATCTGTGTGTTGCCTCTCGTACATGCCCTAACCGGGAACTGAACCCACAACCTGGGCATGTGCCCAGACCAGGAATCAAACCTACAACCTTTTGCTTTGCAAGAAGACACCCAAACAGCTGATCTACACTGGTCAGGGCCAGCCTTCCCCATCTACTGCTGTTTGTTTTGGTGGAAAGGTACCACTTTTCTCCAAGTCTTCCTTTGTGCTGGATCATCTAATAGACATTCTCATTTTAAAGATGAGGCACAGAGAAGCTGATTGATTTACCCAGTTATACAGCTGGCTTGAAGCAAAGCCAAGTCAGGCTATAATCCTTGTTTCCTAAATACTGGTCCAGTGCCTTTTGCACACACCAGGGCATCAAATAATACACTCAATCCTCCCTCCCTCCCTCCCTCCCTCCCTTCCTGATTTTAGAGATAGGAATGGAGAGAGACACAGAAGAAAAACATCAATTTGTTGTTCCACTTATTTATGCATGAATTGGTTGATTCTTGTGTGATATATCAGGACAGCGCTCTACCCAGCTGAGTTACCCAGCCAGGGCAACTTCTCCCATCTTTAAAGCTATGATCTAGAATTAACCTGGTAAAAATGTTTTTCAAAGGTGTTTTAAAATGTAACTAGTTCACTCCAGGGTAGTGTGAGAGTTGCATAGGTAATTCCCCCGCAACTACATCATTATCCATAAGATCACAAATGATTTAGTATTTAAATTAGTTCTATTTAGGTATGCTCCTTCTCTTCAGCACACCCATGCCCCCTTTCCTCAGGCATGTATTTTTGCTTTCTTTCTCATAAGCTTTAAGGGTTCCCATGAAATTTGCAACCAGGGGAGCAGTAGGCAGGAGCAATCTTTCCCAGGCCGACCCCCTGAACCTATCTCCAAGGACTCTTCTTTTGCCTTTGTAACCTCCTTTCCTGAGTCCACGCAGTCCAGCGTGGCTCACTTCTGTTACTGTCACTTCCTTTCCTGAGTCTAGACAGCCCAGTCCTGGCTCACTCCTGTTGCTGCGATCTTGCCTCTTCTATCTTAAACCTTTCCTTTGTGTCACTGTCCCCAGCCTTTTTAAAAAAAAAAAATTATATAATGATGCTTTATTATGTTTTATTGAGGTGTCATTGGTTAATAAAATTATATAGGTTTTCAAGTGTATAATTCTATAATACATCATCTATATTTTGTATGTTCACCACCCCAAGTCAAGTCTCCTTCTATTACTATTTATCCCCCCATACCCTTTTTACCTCTCCACACCCCACACTGTCCCCAGCCTTAATAAATATACTCTCAACATAAAAAATCAAAGAGTTCTATTTGGTTTTTAAATCCATACTCTTTCCCCTATACCATTTATACTTAAACCATGAGGATTTAGTAGTAAACTAGGCTTGTAGGTCCACCAGTTAGTTCCTGTAGGTCAGATCCCTGTAGTATTTTTTTTTAAAGTGGAAGACAGGCCCAAAAATCTTATTTGTGATGATATTATTATGAAGGGCTCAGTGTTAAAATAGTGCCTGGCACATATATAGTGTGTTGTCTCATGTAATTCTCACAGTCCCATTATTTCCTCTGTGTAATTTTATAGTTGAAGAAATTGAGGCACAGATGTTTAAGGAATTGCCCCAGATCACACAAGTAGTTGGGGTGGAGTTTGGATATGAACCAAAGCAATCTGATCTGAGTCAGAACTCAGCCTCCATACTGCTCTACCTACTAAAAAAATACTTGGTGGCTAGCTTAAAGGTTGCAGACCCAGGAACAACTGGTGGGCCCAGGGAGCTCCTCGGGACACCTGGAGCCAGAGGGATCCCCACTGGAGAATATGCCAAAATCTGGAAGGGAAATTGGAGCAAGCCTAGCTGCTGACACTTTTTTCAGCAGCCCTGAACCGCCTCTGAGACAGAGCTTGGGAGATAGGAATAATTTAGAATAGGAGAGGTCAACCTAGCAATTGCAGTGTTGAGATGTGGCCACCAGGAGGCTGCACAGGTTGGCCTCTGAGCCAGGGAGGGGCTGGAGTGCCCACCTCTCATCCTGGTCTTTGTACTTCAGGACTCACTCGCTTTGATCTGCTGGGTGATTTTGGACGCTTCAACTGGCTGGGCAATTTCCACATCGTGTTCCTCTACAATGCAGCCTTTGCAGGCCTCACCACTCTCTGTCTAGTGAAGACTTTCACTGCAGCTGTGCGAGCAGAGCTGATCCGGGCTTTTGGTGAGAGGGAGTGGGGAGCACAGGTTGGTGGGATGATTGTGAGGTGGAGCCTTTGGGAACAGTGGTCATCCCAGTAGGGGAAATGGCATGCTCTCTGCTTTATTTGTAACCTCCCTCATCCACCCATTTTGTGGCTTGGTTGTCTTATCTCAGAGGTCTGACTGTATGCTCTACTTTTGACTGCCCTCCCCTCCTCTTTTCCAGGGCTGGACAGACTGCCATTGCCTGTCTCTGGTTTCCCCAGGGCATCTAGGAAGACCCAGCATCAGTGACCTCCAGATGGGAGTGGGAGGGAGAAAACTGGACACTGCCATCTGCTGCCCAGGCCTGGAGTGACACCAAGAGTGGGCGGACCTTAGGACCTGGAATTTGAGAGGGATGGGTGGCAGAGAGGAGCTGAGCCCTCTGCACTGTTGCATAATCTGAGCCAGAGTTTGGGACCAGGCCCCCCTGCTTTTTCACATTTAACTATGGGCCTCAGCATGGGGTGGGGCTGGGTAACTGGGTCTGGCTCCTGGTCCCAAATCTGTTTACACATCAATCTGCCTCACTGCTATTGCGGGCCATGCCCGTAGCCATGTTTACATGATTTGATGTGCAATAGGATGGGGTGGGGACAGGGGAGGGACTGAGCAGGGGCAGACTTGGGAGGTAGATTGTCTCCTTTTGCCTCTGGCCCAGAAGAACTGAAGCACTGTGCTATCCTGGAGGGGCTTTGGACCACCAGAGATAATGAGGGCATGGGGAAGAAGAGGCCACAACCATCAGCAATAAAGTTGTTCCCAAGGTTTGCTTTGGTTTTGTTTTTTTGCTTTTTTTTTAAGGGCCTGTATGTATCTATTTGAACATCCTTACTCTCAGTCCTGAGTCTGTCAACTGAAAGAAACAAGAGTCCTGTCCACCATCCTTTCCCTCTCCCTCCATCAGCATTGTTAATGCTCTTTGGGGACTTAATTGTGGTATTAGGCCACACAATTAGGCAGCCTCGGGCTAGCTGGTCCCCTGACTCTTCCTTATGCCCATGGCCTTGTTTCTGTGCCTTGGCTATTGGGGGTAGGTAGGCATGGATGTAGGAATGGATAACCTCCCCTTGTATACACACACCCCCTCAGCCCTGTCCCCCCGACATAGATGTGGAGTAAAAGAAGAAGCTGACTAACAAGGGTTTGTGATCTACCTCGGAGAAAAAACTAATTCCTCTTTCCAGAGACTGTCAGTCCCTTAAATACTATGCAAGCCCTCTGCTACATCGGGGATACAGACAGTTTCTGCTTAAGGGTTATACGTATTATACATTGTACAACTTTTAGGGCCACCATTCACCTCATAGTCTTATGTATAGTTATGACTATTTTCTTGCAAAGGACAGGTGTCTTGAAGGGATGCCTTTTTCCCTAATATACACAAAGTGCTATGAGTGCTAGCTATGGAGCTGCATGAAGGGTGAATGTGAAATACCAAAAAAGTATAGGTGCCATGATTATTTGCTGAGCACTTTAGGTAGGCCAGGCAATTAACCATGATAAATAAGTTTGTGCTTCATTGCTTTGTCTAGAAAGGGTGACAGACAATTCTAACACCAAACCACAGTGGATGGCAGTTAATTACTGGTTCTCAAGGAAACATGGAGGTGGGCAGTGTCAGGGCATGAGAGAAGGCTGCTTAAGAGAAAGTGATTTCTAAAGGATAATTGATGGGTAAGTGTCCTAGGCTCAAAGCCTCTGATAAAAACAGTGTCTGGAAGCAGAGCCCTAGGGGTTCCAGAGGTAGAAAGCTGGAGAAGTGGCAAGATGAAAGTTAAAAAGTGATCATTAACCTGTTAGAGACTTAAGTACCCACTGGCCTCCAGCAACTTCCAATTGAGTTGCGTGTTTGAAAACGAAGTTGGGTGTCTGGCAATGACAAAAGAGCAAATTCTGAAGCCCTAAACGGGAGTATAACTATGAGGGTCTGTTTCTGATTCTGAGGCAAGCTCTTAGCAGAAGGCTGCTAGGGAAAATAGACTCCTGGTACCTACGCCTTCCAGTCCTGATTACTGTTGAATAAGAGATGGAAATGGCAGAGGTTTGGGGAGGACCACAGACAAGGGAGGCTCTGGTTGTATGTATGCCCAAAGAGCTTGGCTAGCCTTGGACAGAAAGTGGAACCGATAGTTCCTAGGTAGCAGAGAATATGGACTTCCAGAATAGGCTTTGGGAGAGCAAAGATCAATTCAAGTATCAAAGGAGGGTGGTTTGGTGCCAAGCTTAGACCAGGCAGACTAAGGATTGTAAAGCTACTAGAATTTCTTAGGCAGGTAACTGCCTGGTTTCCAAGATGGGACACACTTCAGTCTCAAGCTGGACCAGTGGTGACCAGCTAGAGCCCCCGCCCTGGTGGGAGGGGGCGGGCCGGTCCTAGGCGGAGGGCGGGGCCAGGGGCCACTTAAGGCGGAGCCCGGGCGTTGTGGCAGCGCCGGAGCCTGGCGGCAGAGCCAGGCTGAGCTGGCATTCACCCACGACCCCCCTTCCCTGCTATGATGGCCAGTCAGTAGCAGGTTCCAGACCCCCGAGGGGCATGTAGGCAGAGCTAGCGGCAGCCAGGTGCACAGAGCCACAGCAGCTCTAGGGCACTCTGGGGGCAGTTCTGCCTGCCGCGCTCTCTGGTGCCGGGGGGAATGTCCAACTGCAGGGCGAGCTGGTGAGGACAAGAACGTTCTCTTTTGGCCAGAGTCCGCTGCATCCATGGCGCTGCTGTCCAGTCTGGTGCCCCTGTGCTGCTTGGCACTTCTGGCGCTGCCAACCCAGAGCTGCGGGCCGGGCCGGGGGCCGGTTGGCCGGCGCCGCTACGTGCGCAAGCAGCTTGTGCCGCTGCTCTACAAGCAATTTGTACCCAGCGTGCCAGAAAGGACCCTGGGTGCCAGTGGGCCAGCCGAGGGGATGGTTGCAAGGGGCTCAGAGCGCTTCCGGGACCTGGTGCCCAACTACAATCCTGACATCATCTTCAAGGATGAGGAGAACAGTGGCGCAGACCGCCTGATGACTGAGGTAAGGTGGGTCTCTCCTCACCTGCGCCAAGTTTTCTACTTTCCTGTAGCCGCCCAGGAGGGTGAACTGGGCTTCATTTATAAAGATCTTAATCTCAAATACCTTCTCTCACCCCACCCAAAATAAAACCTCTGCTGGCTGGACTGAGTGATCAGGAGGGATCAGAACAGGGGGGAGAGGGAGGAGGGACTAGTGAGAGTGAAGCTGGGAGAGACTTCGAGGGTGAGGGCGGGGAAAGGGGGATGGCGGCAGGCGAGACGGGAAATGGCTGAGGCGTGGACCGGGGGTCAGCTACCAAGCCAGGCAGGAAGGGCTGGGGTGAGCTGGGGGCCAAGAGCTGGCTAGGCAGCAGACAGAAAGCTATGCCCTTAGCCTGGCTCCTGACCTGATTGTGGAAAAGCTCTGTGAGCCAGAGACTGAAGGGGGCTGGGAAAGGGTGGCCAAGAGTCTGGTCACCGGGCCATTTACCTGAGCCGGGGCTGGCATGAAGAAGGCATCCTAGAACCAGGACAAGGTTGTTCTAGAGTCTAAACGACTGTCTTGGGCTGAAAGGCAGTTCTCAATGGGAAGAACAGATGGGTCCACCTAAGAATCAAAGGGTTCCTGTGTCCCTCAAGCTCAGTTTAGCTCAGGGGCTTTCCTTGGAATCAAATAACTAAAATAAATTCAACTACCATGTATTGAACATCTGCTGCAGAGCAGAACCTAACCAACTGAGGGAAAGGTGAGCAATGCCTTGGGAGAGAAGGACTACCTCCAGCCACTAGTCTCAAATATCAGAACTGGAAGGAAACTTGGACATCACATTCTTTCACCATCACCCCACCCCTCATTTTACAGTGAAAGCAGGGCCCCAAGAGGAAAAGCGATTTAATCAAAGTCGTAAAACTAATTAGTGGCATGGCTGGGACTAGAATTCAGGACTCCTGATTCTAAGTCCTATACACTTTCCATTACACCACCTAATTGTGTATGGAGTGAGGAGGTGGGGGGAGAGGGAGGGGTACGGATTTCCTCTGATTAATTGCCATAGTTTTCCAGGTTACTTTGTTAGGAAAACCTGTTCAGGAGAGAAAGAATCCCTTCTTGTTCCTGCCTTGAAGCCTTCCTCCTACCCTCAGATTGAGAAGGGGACACTCCTTCCCTCCTCGGTCATGGAATGTTGTGGCCCTTTCCTGTGGCTGCCACCTGCAGCAGAGGGGGCAGAACAAGGGACAGGCCCAGGAGGGGCCCTGGCAGGCTTGGGAACCCTTTCGGTCCTGCTTATCTCCCACACCCTGGCTGCAAAAGGCCTCCATTGAGTTGGCTCTGCAAAGGACTGCTGCCCCCGCAGGTCAAGGCCTCAAGGCCTCCATAGGGGACAAAACGACAAAAAAGTTGGAAGGAGTTACCACTTTTCCTGTCTTTCCCCTCCCCTCCTCTCCAACCCTGCGGAGGTGTAGAAGACCCTGCAAGAAGGGCAGGGGAAAATTGTCCCTCTGGCAGTTAGGAGAAAACGAAGTCCGAGGTGAGAGGTCGGAGGGGGAGAAGAAAAGGAAGCTGTCCTCTTTGCGCCTCCTCCCGCGGTGTCCGTGCTATGGTGCTTGCCAAGGTCTCCGGCTCCCAAATTGGAGCGGCCAAGATAACCGTGGTCTCACTCCCCCGGGTGCAGGCTTCCAGCCGAGGCTGCTTTTCCTCCTCTCCACTCCCACCCTGCAGGGGGCCCCCCAGATCCGCACAAGGGCAGCTCCGGCCGTTCTCAGGTGCTACTCCCACGCCTCTCTGGGCTGCATCTGGACCAGAGATGGAGAGAGATGGCAGCTCTCAGGGCTGGCAGAGACTGAGCTGGAACCGGGAGGGCTGGCCTCGCTGGGGGAGGGGACTGGCGGGGCCGGAGCAGGGATGGGGGGGCGCGGCTTTCTGCCCTTTCCTCTCCCAGAGCCGGGGTGGCTGAAAAGCGCCTTTGTGGATGGAGCTGCTGAGTCCGCTTCTCCCGGCGCGTCCCCGGCCTCGGCCCGGGATTCTCGCTTGGTTAAGTCATCCCGGAGAATGGCCATTGTACTTCATGCAGCCCCCGCCACCCCAACCCTTTTTCTAGTAGCCTTGATCCCGCACAGCCCCGTTAGGGCACCTCTATGGGGGGCACTAGCACGATGAAGGGGTTAATGCTAGGGGCCGAAAGGAGGAGGAGGAAGGAAGGAAGGAAGCGATGCCCGGTGCCAGGGAAGGCAACGAAACAAAAGATGAATCAGGCAGAGGGAGGGCAGCCAGGGCTTGCAGCGGGGGGCCAGGCTCAAACAGGGGCTCCTTTTGGGGAGCCAGGCCGCTGGACCACTCCCTGACCAAGCTTCCACCCACCCTCTCAACTATTGCTGTCTCTCAAGTTGAGCCAATACCCCAGGACGAGCAGGGGTTAGGGGCGGGCATTAAAAATAGAGGAAGAGCTAGGTATAGGTGTCCCTTCTCAACCTCAGACCTGACCCCACAGTTCTCCCACGTTGCTTTGGGAAGGTGGTGCTGACTGGTGGCGAAACCTATGCAGATTTTCACTTCCCCAGGGCATTCAAAAGCTGGAAGGGAGTCAAGTGGGGACGGGAAAGCAGAAGAATCGACCCTCCCATCCAGGTCCCTTGTGCCCCCATAGTGGTGGTAGTGATAGTGAGGAGACTGACTCCTTTATTCCCCGACAGCGTTGTAAGGAGCGGGTGAACGCTCTGGCCATTGCTGTGATGAACATGTGGCCAGGAGTGCGCCTGCGGGTGACCGAGGGCTGGGA